ACAATAGAAATTTTTTCCTGCCAGGAAATGGAAAATCAAATAATAAAGAAAGAACCATATACTTTATAATAAATAAACAATCTAACATCAGCCTAGTCACATATGATACAACTATTGAATAGTTTGTCAACATAAGGCAGCTTATTTTTAAGAAGGATATTACTATAAATTTCACAAGAAAAGCATAAAACTTTACCCTAAAAAAATGTCTGTGATAAGTATAATAAGAAATGCTTTCCCAGTATCTGAAATATTATCTATTATTTTGTACCCTGTAAATTTCAGCAAAGCTACCTGCAAAAGTGAAGACAAAAAACAAAGGTAAACAAAAATGCTTTAGATATAAAAAAATTCAGCACATAAAATATGCAATTGGTAGCAGACATTAAAGATATAACATACTTAGATCCATGTGTAATTCATGGTCAAGTAGATACAAGCATAAAGGAGTATTTTTAACCATAATGTTTGGGATATTTAATTCTTGGAGTGAATGAGAGGAAAAAGTAGGATTTAATGAGAATAAAGTAAAGGTTAATAAGGATCAGTGAATCATCTAGATTGGTCTTTTTCCTGGAAGCAGCAAGATGTTGTATCTTAACCTCATCATGAATGGATGCTACTTATGCAAGAGAGCTGTAGCTGCATATGCCTCACGTTTCATACTACATAAAAAAATTCTCAGGTTTCATACATAAAATTTCTTATGCTACTTTGGTCTTTTGTTTAGAGTCTACGGACAGAGCTGCAGAGTCTATCAATCATCTACTCCAGTGAAGTGGGTTGTGGCTAGCTCAGCAAGAGAGGAGATATGGCTTGGAGAGGCATCCATGAGAATAAACGCTATAATAAAAATTTAGGTCTTATCCTTTTGGCTGCCTTACAAATAATTTGGAAAGAAAGATATGAGAATTGTTTAGGACATAAAATTGTCCTTTGATAGGATCAAGGAAATTTGGTTCTGAACCTTAAGTTTTTCTTATTAAGAATCATCATTTTATACTGTAAGGACTTGAGAGACTTTATTGATGCTTTCCCAAATTTCTAAATTTTTTTTTTTTTTTACAGATTGTAATCACTTGGTGCTATCTAATACTAAACTTTTTCCTTTAAAAACCTGTACTACCCATCTTAGCCCTTAACTGCCCAACCTACCAAATTGGTGATTAAGACAGTTAAATATCCAATTTACATTATATTTTTAGTAAAATTACCTAATTATCCATATTTTTAATATTTGTGTAACATAACTTTAGCAAGTCCCTACCTTAATTACCCTTTCCAGCCAGATACTGTTGAAAACTAAATAATAATTAGTTGAAACAAAAATTAGTTACAATTTTCTAATAATAAGGAAAAAAAATAACTATTATGCTTACTTGACTCTATTGACTATTATACTTACTTTACTCTAATCTTATGCTAGGAAATTCTACTTTAGTTCCTTAGTTAAAGAGCACTGGATTTAGCATAGTTTTGTGGTTGACGTGGTTAAATCACTTTTTGGAGAAAAAATGACAAAACCATCTTTGCTACCCAGTTGGCTGCCATTCTAGCACTCTCATGATGACAAAATCATCTTGGAAGCCAACACCGACCCTATGGTACCGAAGCTCTAATGAAATCTACAATTACCGAAGGACGAGATTGAGAGACAAGTAAAGGAGATGATGCAACAAGGGATTACTGGTTAAACAGCTAACAGATCATGGCGATTTCTTATGGACCATCATGCCCTTAACCATAGAACAATCAAGGACAAGTTCCTTACTCTACTTATCAAGTCTTGGAAGATTGCTTGGTGCTTGGTTCTTCATCAAGCTCAACCTACATCAGGATACCACCGATTTTAATGCATCCTTACAACATTGAGAAGACTGCCTTTGAAACACATAATAGTTATCACAACTTCTTAGTCATGCCCTTTGGCTAATGAGTGTACTGTCCACCTTCCTGAGTCCTCATGAACACTATCTCTTGGTCGCATCAGTGCAGATTTGTAAAGCTATCCTCCGATGATACCATAGTTTAAATAAAGCATGGGTTCACCTTGGGCATCTCATGTTTAGTTTTTTCCTTTACTTGAAAGCAATAGCTTGTTTCTGAAGAAGTCCAAATACCTTTTTGCACATTTTCAGGTTTCGTACTATGGTCACATAATTTCTTGTGACAGTCAGCCGCATATGCCTCCAATCTGCTATCTTGCAATGGCCTAAACCATTGAATCACTATCCATATTATTAAGGGTCCACTAACAGTCATGCAGCAGAAGAATTTTTTATTTGGACTACAGGTGCCAAACAGGAGGGCCCATCACTATTATTGGGCGGCCTGGGCAGGTTTAAACATAAGAAATTCTGATTTTCCTCCCAAGCATGGTCTGTCATGGGCCCCTTTTTTTGTGGTCCACATCTTTTTTGTGGTTCACAGTGAAAACAATTAGTAACAAGGGGTGTCAGAATGCCAAAAGAAAGTTCCATACAAGAAAAAAAGAAAACATACTAAATGATACTTACTTTACTCTGATTGAAGTATAAAAGAATGAACAATGAGAACCCAAAGACCATATCAGACCATATATTTGCAAATGCTTTACAGTTCTCTAATCTCCATTCGTCCCGCAATTCTAACCTGTTGAACGAACAAGAAACTGATAAAAAAATTCCACTCATACAATAAACTAAATTGTGAATTTTAAGTTTATCTGTACTTGCAATGAGGTAACCTCATAACCAATTTATGTGTATTACCAGCTGTAGCACACCAAAAAGTTCTAAATTTAATCTACAAGCATAGAGAAAACAGTGAGTTGCAATACGGGTTTTCTATTCTTTTTTTTTTAAAATAAACAAGTTTTCTATTCATCCCAATTACTTTGAGATTAAGGCTTGGTTAAGAGCTTGTTTAGTGATGTAGGACAAGCTAGGAGTAGTTTGCTTAATTCAGAATACCTTGATAATAGGTTTTCTTATAGAACACATTTGGAAAGAAGATTCCTAATCAAATCTGAGGGTTGGTTGCATCACAAACCTCAAGCAAAAAGTGCTTTAGATTCTCTTAGTGATTGTTATTTATCCTAAAGGAATTACAAGTATTTACATTCTCTAACTTAACAATAATCTAGTCATGATAGAAATTTTAATAGGAAACTTCAAAGAATTCTGTCCCAATAGAAAGTTGTTGTAACAGAATTTTTCTTTTTCAAATAAAAAGTATATTGTATCATCTATTCACCAGTGCCAAGGGGGTGCCACCCCTATATAAAAATCATTACAAGTCTATTAGTAAGTCAATAAAATTCCCAAATTCCGCAAAAGAAATAATAAGATGCTCCATAACTAAAACACCCAATATCTGGAGTTATCTATCTCTAACTCTAACAAAATCCTCTTCCACCCCTTAAAAGTTCTCTTATTTCTCTCCTTCCACACTACCCATAGAATGGTGAGGGAAATGAGATCCATGAGTTTCCTCCCTTTACTAATGTCTTTCCAGGCCCAAATCTCAGCTATTATCGTGGCAGATATAGCCCAACGAATTCCCAATAATCTGTAGGCCACTATCCATAGTTTGTGAGCCAATGGGCACTAAAGCATAATAAGCTACAAGATTCTGCCTCTCTCTTGCACAAAGAACAACTGTTCACCATAGTTTTTCTCCTTTTCCTCAATTTGCCAATTGTCAAAATATACTCGTCCTCTGTTTTCCATGCAAAAAAAAAACAACTCTAGGAGTAGTCACCATCTTTTTTTTAAAAATAAAAAGTGTAAAGTATTGTATTAACAAAGTACCAAAACGGGAGTACCACCCATGTACAAAAAATTTACAAAAGAGTTAAGATCTTAATGACATTTCTAAAATCTACATCGCTAATAATGTCATGACCTAACAATATAGTCCCAAAAAAATATAATCATTTATCTCTAATGCTATAAGGGCTGCTAATTCTGCCATCAAAAACTCTGAAGTTCCGCTCTTTCCAGATAACCCATAAAACAATTAATGAAATAATGTTTGCAATGTTTCTTTTTACATATAACCCATCTCAAGCCCAAATTTCCTCATGGACCGAACCCGCCATCACCCATTGAATCCCTAACAACCCATAGATCACACACCAAAAGTCCCAAACCACGAGATACTAAAGCAGCAGATGATTACATAACTCCTGAGCCAACAAACACATATAACACCCATTCACAAGAATCTGTCCTCTAGTTCTGAGTTTATCAATTGTGAGAAAATTCTCCCAACAGGCTTCCCACGCAAAGAAAGGGATCCTCGGATGGATATTCGTTTTGCAGATTTGTTTGTAAGGAAAGTTCCAGTGAACCACCGTAGTATCCTTCATTAAAAGTTATAGTAGGATCTAATCGAGAATCTTTCGGATTCCTCAAATTTCCAGACAAAT